CTACAATGCCAACCAACCTCACCTTCAGGCACAGCTGTTTTCAGTCATCTTTTTACATTTCTATCCATGTGTGTGTATATATATATATATATATATATATATATATATATATATATATATATATATATATATATATGTATGTATGTATGTATGTATGTATGTATGTTTTTTCTTATTAATCATTACTTATTTTGACAAATTATTTATGTATTAAATTTATTTTAAATAATAGTAGGTTTTGATTTAAAACTTTTTTAGATTTTAAAAATGTTATGGTCATGTATGTTGACTTGGGAAGTGAGTATATCTTTTAGGAAAGAATATATTTGAAAAAGAAAACGTGTGTGTGTGTGTATGCATATATATATATATATATATATATATATATTTCTTACTGTAAACGTTCATTTTAGTGGATGCCCATATTTGAGATGATGCTAGAAATCATTTTTTTTAGACAGCATTATTTTTCCCGGACTGGCCTGAACATTCAAGCAATCTTGAAAAAATGTGCTCTCTGGCAGGATTTGGACCTGCGTCTTTCTTTGCAGGAGAAACTGTCATTTGATGAGACATGCTTCATAATCAAACAAGGTTCTATCTGCTTTTAAAGCACACTTTACTCATTCAGATTTCTTTGAACGTCATAACTGAGCAGTTTCAGATCTGAAACGTAAACAAAGCAATTTCTAAAGAATTAATGGATTTTATTTATTAACCCAACATATTTTTATTACATTAAACATTATTTGGGGGAGGGGGGGGCTACCCATATATGAGTAGATGTGCCATTTATTTTTAAAAACAGTATTTTATTTCATCTACCAGACTGAACATTCAAGAAATCTTATTGAAGGATTCAAACCTATGTCTCCCTTTGCAGACGAAATCACTCTTTGATGCAATATGCTTTGACCATATGGGCCACCATGAAGAGCTTTATAATCAAGCAATGTTATAATGGTTAGCAAGCTTGTCTTGCTAGAACAGTTACAACTGAATAGTGAGTTCAATCCTCACTGGGTGCCCTCTACTTTCGGCCTTGTGCCACATCTAAGGGATGCTTGGAAAATCACTACTTTGCCTTTAAAAAAAAAAAAAAAAGTGTATCCACTAAAAATAGCATTTAAAGTAATAAAAATAAAATCATGGATTAATATATATTTTAAGACATTTTATGTTTATACATTCTTTTTATAGATACAAATATTTAAGTAAATGCTCCGTTTATAATAAACAGTATTAAACAACATTTACCAGCCTGAATGTCCAAGAAAGTTTCACAGAAAATATTCATCCTCCAACAGAATTCGAACCTGTATCCTATGCGGAACCGTCATTTAGCTTGAGATGCCTTTAACTGATTTGGCCACAGAGGAGCGTTCAATTAGCAAGGTCGAATTTGCTGTATTTAAACTTCAATCTTCCATGAATCTCTCACGTACATTCATATCTGCTCATGGCATATCAAATGTAAACAAATGACGTCACACATTATGAAATGGACAAAGTCCGACAATTATTTTAAGATTTTTTATATATATATATATATATATATATATATATATATATATATATATATCTTTTATACAAGTTTTGTTAAAATGACTGATAATTTACTGCAGTCAAGTTCTTTATTCATTTTTTTTTTTTTTTGTGTTTTTATAATTTTTCCCTTTTCTGGACATATATATATATATGTCTTTTCTGGACATATATATATATATGTCTTTTCTGGACATATATATATATATGTCCAAGCAGCTTCAGCTATTTTTTTACGATCAAGGATGAATTTATTTTTACTTCTAACTGAATGCATAAACATTTATTTTTTGTAACTGAATGTATAGATTTTTTTTTTAAGATATATTTATGTATCTAGAGTTATAAGAATGTTTTTATTTTCTAAAATGGTCAGCACATTGTGGCCATGTTCATAGTTGATGTTATTGAGTGTTGTTTTGTTTTTTTCCTTTTTGATTAATATTGCTTCTATTACATTAATTTTAGCGTTTTTTAACATCCAGCAGGGAAAGAAAAAATTATAAACACACAAGAAAAATTAATAAAAAAAACTGCAGTACCTTTTCTGTCGTTTTTAATGAAACTTATATATATATATATATAACTGAAAGAAAATAAGAGAGAAAAAGTAAAAACCAGTAAAGAGTGAGTGTAAAATTAAAAGAAACAATGAAAAGGACAAATAACCATGACATTCCACATGGGCACGCACAATGCACACATAAAGTACAAAAAAAAAAAAACTTGCACCTGTGATAAATGCATATAAAAAAAAGAAAAAGTGAGAAGTATAAACAGTCAATTGCTGATACCCTCTGACGAGTGGATGGAGTGATTCCTGGAGGGTCCGTCTATGAAACTCTGGAGTCCAGATGCTGACAGTAATATCAATGAAACCTTTTTCGTATTAATTCTATATATATAGAAGTTGTATGGATACGAGTTTGTGACCCTGGGTTTTTTGCAATCATCAGAGTTTGTCTGATGATAGCAAAAGCGTGAAACCCAAGGTCACAAACTCATATCCATACAACTTATTATGTTAGCTCTATCACTGATATTGAGCACTTTCTACTAAGTATCGCGCATATAATAAATGTGTGTGTGTATATATATATATATATAAGTAGTTAGCAGGACATTCAGAGATTATTCACAAACTAATTGATAATTTCTGCATGTGCAAAACATTATTAGTTGATTGGCTTGTGTCCAAACATCGGATTAACCATATTATTATTGTTGTTATCACCTCCACGTTCGTTTCTTATAACTTAAAGCTTAGTCAATTCAAAGAATTTGCAATTTTCATTCTAGAAAAGGAAGTATATATTATGACTTACCTCCCTTTAACACGTTGCCATGAACAATAAAAAAGTAACAGTTTTGTAAACATTATCTGCATTTTATCTTCCTAATAATTCATTTTCTTATTGATTTTAATTATCAAAAATCCTATTCCTAATTATAACACTCTGGTATATTCAATTTCAGTAATAATCTTGTTTAAAAAATACAAATTATAAAAGACATCTGTGCCCGGTGTCAAATCATCAAAAAAAGTAAAAAATCTTTGTAAACTAAAACGAATTAACTCGATGATTATATCGTTCTTTGGTAATTGTAATTTTGTTTATTTAAAGTCAAAGGATAACAGACCCAATTCTGAAGACAGAACTTTGTGAAAATAAGGCGGCAAACTGATACGGGTGGTGTGGGAACACGCGAGGGTCGTATTACCCAAGTTCTTAACCTTTCATTTCAAGGTTATGAATGTCTGCTAATGGAAAATCGATACAGATGTAACTTACGTTAACAAATAAATTTTAAATTAATTTAAATATATATATATTTTTTAAAATTAAATTATATGACCGTGAAAAATTAAGTCGAGTTTTGATTTCAAGTATTGATCTTGTCAACAGAAATAATTTTAAGAACAATATCACATTAGAAATTTGATATTTATAAGTAATTTTCCAATCATGTAAGTAAAAAAGAATTAAAAATCCAAGATGTGTAAATAAAATATTTTTTTAAAACATTTAATTTTTTTAAATTAATTTTTTTCAAGTTGAGTTATTCCCCTTTCTTTCCACCTTTAAAAGTGTTTTTTTTTTTTTTTAGTTTCTAACAATAATCATTAATTGTGCATTTACAACAGATTGTCAATGTTAACAAGTTTTATTTTTTTTTTAAATAACAAATTTTAAACATATTTATTAAGGGTATAAGAAAAATAAACTCCCCAAAAATATCATTAAAATATCCATCCGTTTCTTTCGTCTTCTTAGGACGTCAATCTTGAGACACCGTTGTCTTCGAAGTTAAGATTAGGTCTTATTTTATTAGATCAATTTATACACGTACAGATCTAAAAACTTTAAAAGATTACTTTAAATAAATGCCGTAGATTCAACAGAAGTCATGTAAGACATTAATTTGTTTTTAATCGATAATCCGAGATCTTTTAAGAAAGCGAAGTGGGTTTCGTTTATCACTCGCTTCCTTATAAGAAGTTTAAAATCATCCGGAGGATAACCTTTTAAAAAAAATACAGTAACGATAAAAATCGAAACACGGGAATACCCACATACATTCATAATAATCAATCAGTATTCTCTTGGTTGAAATAGCCACAAAAATATACAAATTAAATTTTAAAACACAATATATTGAAATGATAAGGTAACACGTTTTCAGCTGAGGACATTGGAAGGAAAGGAAGGTCATGGTCCCCCTGTGATCGGGATCCGTACGCAAGTTGAAATTTACCTATAATCGCAACCTAGCTGTCATAAAAACATCTCAAATACATGCACACTTGCCTTCTGTCTTCCAAAGATCTGTGATCGTAATAGCTTAGAAAACTGCGATAGAAACCTATGAGATGAAAGCATGGCGGCTCGTTTCTGGGTGATGCTACCGATAAGAAAAAAGCACAGTGTCAATTTTTATCAAGTATGGAGGACTAGATGTGCAATAAAACTAGAGCGGCAGTGATACACCCACTAAAAATTGAGGTGTGTTGTGTCTGTGTGTGCGACGTGTTGTCTGCTTGATGGAGTATTCCATTGAAGAAAAGAGAGTAGAAAACAAAACCTAAAAAAAGAAAAAACATTATGACGAATTACTTTTTCTGCTTAACTTTAGAATTCAAATCTCATTGTTATATTTTTTTTTTACTTATTTACAAGGTATTTTTAATTTTACTTGTCTAGACTAGACAGAAGTAAACAAATAATAAAAAAACGATTGTTTTTTTTACAGTGTTACTTTCAGTCTTAGTGTTACTGTTAACTTTTTTGTCAAAGGTTAACGCATTAAAACTATAAAACAAAAACAGAAATCATAAAAACTAATTGCACTCAGACTCAATTCACTAAAGCCAGTGTCAAGGAAATCTTTTAGTCCTAATACGAGTTTAATTAGACAGGAACTGACTGACTAAAACCTTAAAAGTGTAATAAAATCTATGTAGATAGATAGATAGATAGATAGATAGATAGATAGATAGATAGATAGATAGATAGATAGATAAACAGGCATAGATAGATAGATAGTGAGTGAGTGAGATAGAGAGAGACGAAGTGAGATAGAGAGAGAGAGAGACTAAAAAGATAGAGAGAGATAGATAGATAGATAGATAGATAGATAGATAGATAGATAGATAGATAGATAGATAGATAGATAGAGACGGAGTGAGAGAGAGAGATTAAAAAGATAGAGAGAGACAGACTGATATATATATATATATAGAGAGAGAGAGATAGATAGATAGATAGATAGATAGATAGATAGATAGATAGATAGATAGATAGATATAAACAGGCATCAGTGAGTGAGTGAGATAGAGAGAGACGGAGTGAGATAGAGAGAGACATACTAAAAAGATAGAGAGAGACAGACTGATATATATATATATATATATAGATAGATAGATAGATAGATAGATAGATAGATAGATAGTGAGTGAGTGAGTGAGATAGAGAGAGACGGAGGAGATAGAGAGAGAGAGACTAAAAGATAGAGAGATACAGACTGATATATATATATATATATATATATATATATATATATATATATATATATAGATAGATAGATAGATAGATAGATAGATAGATATAAACAGGCATAGATAGATAGATAGATAGTGAGTGAGTGAGATAGAGAGAGACGGAGTGAGATAGAGAGAGAGACTAAAAAGATAGAGAGATACAGACTGATATATATATATATATATATATATATATATATATATATATATATACATATATAGATAGATAGATAGATAGATAGATAGATAGATAGATAGATTCAGTTGATGAAAGAAACTCGAGATAAAAAAAACAGTAATAATAATGATAATAAGACTAATAATATCTATATTCTATGTTGTTAGGTTTTTTTAGACCAAAGAAGCCTGATGAGAAAAGCTGTTAAAATCATCGCGATTTTGGTCTAAAAAAAAGCCTACAATAAATTATTATTTTCTTATTATCATACATTATTGTTATATTATTATTGTTGTTTTGTTGTTCTGTTTGCATGTTTGTTTGTTTTTGTCTCTCAATTTTTTTCATCTCTACCATATAAGAAGTATACGTGGACAGTCTTTCTCTATAACTAAAAGTGTGTGTGTGTTTGCGTGCGTATTTATTGACACAAGTAAGAAGAATAACAATATATAAATCATGCCAATTAAGTCGATATATATATATTTGTTATGGGTTATTTATGTTTTTATGACAACAATATTAACAATTTATGTTACTTGCAATTATTTTCTATGTAACTTAAATATTAAATGGCAAAAGAAAAAAAATATTCTCAAAAAATTAACTCCAAGCGACACGAAGAAATCTAAAGTCATTTTCTTCTCAAACATGAAAACAAAATTAAGTTTAAATTACTTGATAATTTGACAATTACAAACATTTATTTCTATTTTAATTAAGTGATGAAAATAGTTAACTCTTTCGAAAATAAAATTTTCAAAAAATTAAACATCAGTTCCTGAAATCCCCGACTGAAATTGTTTAGTCTGAAGAAGGAGATGAAAAGAGAAAATATTATTCATAATAATTCTGACTTACAAATTGTTTCAAGACCTTAACTTTGAGAAACGTGGTTTGAAAAGATTTAAATAATGTTAATTATAACGAAATCTCTTAACATAAAAAATAAAAAATATGTTTTGTTCCGTTTTTGAAAGAAAAAAAAATACAAACTCCAAACCAAACCTCTAAAAGGTCATTTCTAATTTTTCTTTAATTCATGTTAAAGCGTAATGTTAAGTCCACTTTTAACCTTTTAAAAAGAGTTGATTAATTAATTGGTTATTCTAAAAACTTGCCGTCGTCTTTTAATAATCCAATTGCGAATTTAAAATAAAAAGAAAACAATTCTACGCAGAAATAGGAGCGAGTGATTAACTTAAGAATACCTATACATTTCTTTTAAATCCACAGACAAAAACGCGTACAACCACAGGTCAGCCTCTTTAAAAAATTTTCTTGGGAATGCCAACTTATTTCAAAAATTAACCTTTTTTCTTTTCTTTTGATGTTTTTTCACGATCTTCATTTCATTTTCTTAAGATAAATTTAAAAGAAATTTATATATATATATATATATATATATATATATATATATATATATATATATATATATATATATAATGGGAAAAATAAACATTTTCTTGAGCAATGATTACAAAAAATAAAAATAAAAAACAAGCAAAAATAAACAAACAAACAAAAAACACGTGTAGGAAAAAAACAAAACAAAAAGCAAACAAACCAAGACATAAAATTCATTTGATCTTCTAAGAAAAAAAAAGGGGGGGGGTAAATCAAACCCCCACTCCCCAACCGCACAAGGTATGTTGCAATAATATTAACAAGAAATAATTAAATGGTTTGTATTTGTTCTGGGAAGACTCCATTCTTTTTTTTTTCTTTTCTTTACTTTTCTTTTCTTTTCTTTTCTTTTCTTTTCATTTGACGCAAAACAGATCCGTGAGCGCATCGAGTTCTGGTGATTGATAAAGCGCACGCTAATAGTAGTTCGACTGATTGTAAGATGATGGCATAAAGAGGCTTCCATAGAGTGAAGAAGGCATTAGCGATGAGCAGCATCACGCATGCGCCTTGGCACCCCACTCGCCTCCCCCCTCCCCGTCGCTTTCCCAATCAGAGAATTTCTTTGTTATTCTTCACTCTATAAAGTTGTGTCAACTTCCTAGACACTTTCTGAAAAGGCAGCTTTCCAGAGGTAAGTACCAACACTTCTCAACTCGATTTTTCTTTAATTCGCTAAACTCTCGCACCTCGTCTCCACCCCCTTAATTATCATTTCTTTATGATCATCTTAGTTTGTATTGGTTTTATTATTGGTAAATACACACACAGCATCTTCTTCTCTCAAGACGGTGTTTTGCAGACGACGCAAGAAGACGAAGAAGCAAAAAAAGCACCTGTTTCTTGTTGTTTTTTCTTCTTCTTCTCTTTCCTTTCATTTAGATTTTTAAAGTTTATATTATTATTTCTTATTCTTATTAAAAGATTTTTTTCCAAGATATTTAATTTATAAATCTTTTTTTTCTTTTTGTATGGTTTCTTTCCTTGAAGAATTATGTAAAGTACTTTTCCTTCAATCTTCAGAAAAAAAGGTTTTTCGTTTTCGTCTTTAATTTTTTTTTTTATATTTAACTTATGTGAACCCGATTTCTACGTTAAGATTTTTCTTTTCTTTTCTTCTTCATGTCTGTTATTCTTTTCTTTTTTAACTACTTTTCCTCCTTTTTTTTTTTTTTTTTTTTTTCTTTTTTTAGATATTACGTTTTACTTTTGCCTTTACTTTTTGGACTATAAATTTTCACTTTTCAGTCGGTAACTTTTTCTTTTTAACATCCTCCTACAACGATCAAATGAATGAGTTTTGTTTTCTTAAAACGGATCTTATTTCAATTTTTAAGAATATCGGAAAAAAATTTCTTATTTTTTAAAATTATTCATTTTTACTTATTTACTAGTTTATAAGCAAAAACAAATTATACTTCGGTTTGAATTAATATTCTACCCCACTTAGATATTTTTTTTATTTCTTTGTTCACATTTATTTCGCTATTTTGTAAACATCTATATCGTTTGCTTATTTTGATCTCGACTTTTTAGTTTTATTGTTATTAAATTTAATGTACTGATAATTTAACTATTCCATGAATAAAGAAGTGTTCTTAAAGAAATCTATCCAGTTAAAGTCGATTTAACATTTTCTTGCACATTTTATATGGTTTCCTTAAGTTCTAACTTCTAACATATAAAATGAATAAAAATAAAATTCTTCATGTTCTTGAGAAGAAGAAAAACCGTGTGCCTATGAGCCGACCTCGGCGTGTGCGTTTTTCTGTCGATTCTAGATTAATGTAAATTAAAAGACTATTGAGTTGACATTTTTAATTCTAATTTATTATCACTCAGCTCTCTATCTGGGAGACATTATCTTTGCAACAAGTTCCCTTTTCTTGTCCTCCTCTTCCCACACCCCCACCCCGGCTGTGACTGTACATTGTGTGTGCGTGTTCAACTCCTGTGAAAGAAAAATGTCACAGAGAAGTGGGGGGAAAAAAAAGGAAAGAAAAAAAAAAAAAGTATCACTCGCTACCCACTGACAGCCTTGTTAGTTTTCTCCAGTTCCGAATGTCGCTTGTGATGTTTTCTTTTTCACACACACAGAACAATTTCTGAAGTGAGTGGGTGTACATCTCACAAATTATCATATCATTGCCATCAACCTGTGTATATATGAAGAGGAGTTTTGCTTTCCCTTCTCTCCCCCCTTTCTCTCTCTTTCTCTCTCTCCCTCCTCTCTCTCTCCTCTCTCTCTCTCTGTTGTTGAATCGAGCACCAAATCCGATGGGGCTACTTGTTTATCACCCACACCCTACAAGAAGAGTCTTACTGGTCCGGCCTCTCTTCCTCCTCCTCCTTCGTCTTCTTCCCTTGCAACCACGACCACCATCGTTTTCTGTCCCCTACCATACTAGCTACTCATTCCAATTCTGTAGATGTGGTGCCATCCTTCTTTGATGGACTCACTTCCCAATCTTTGGACTATTTGCCGGAGGTGGTCGGCGGGAAGATTATATCAGAGTGACTGAAGATCTCACCGATGACGGTTGAGAATTTTTTTCCTTTTTTTTAAAAACAAAACAAAACAAAACAAAAAAAAAGAAACCCCTCCAAAAAAAAAAAAAAAAAAAAGAGAAGAAGAAGAAAAAAAAAACAAAATTCAGAAAGTACCGTAGAACAACTTGTGTAATATAAACTTTTCATGAGTCTATGAGCGACTAGTAAATAATGTATGGGCATATCTCTGGCGTGCTTTGTGAATGGTCAACACTTGGAAAGCCTTCGTTGCTTGCACACTCCCTTGAGGGAGCACAACAACCATCTCCAGTGATGGACTACCGCACCGCCTCCACCGATTGTTGGCTGCCCGCGCCCGCACCGGCCGCTGCCACCGTCGCACCTGTCGCCGCCGCCACCGCACCACCGTCGGCCGCCGCCGCCGCCGCAGCTGCAGCCGCTGCTGCTGCACATATGGCACAATTAAGTACGGGACACTTTACAGTAACTTTTAACTTTCTTATTTATTTTAATAATACATCTTTAAATGATATGTAATAAATAATAATATTATCATTATTATCAATTCAATCATAACAAAATCCACAACTTACAGTTTTTATGTAACGACAATATCATCAGGCGGAAATTATATATATAATAATTGTGTGTGTGTGTGTGTTGACACAAGCATAAATAACCCATTTCTGACTTTTCTTTCATTTTGCTGTAAAACAATTTTCTGAAATTTTTGACGACATTTCTTAACCGTAAATGTTTCTTGTAATAATGTTAGATTCAGCTAAAAATACGTTTTACGGATTTATCATTAATAATATTGACTGAAATCTTAGTCTATATATGAAGCCCTCCGACCCTACTCCCACCTACCGCCCCAAAAGAAACCCCAAAAGATTTGTGGATGAGAAGAGGGTCAGGCTGATGACTTTTCAGCACCCCTTAACATAAGAAAACACACACGCTTTTTTTTTTTGTTTTTGTTTGTTGTGAGCGTTTTTAAAAATGAATATGATGAGACTTGTTAATTCTAAATTTGGGTTTATTAAATAATAAATTTAATTGAAATTTAATATTTATTAATTATGAAGATCGATCATTATTCCCTATGTTTTATTAATTTCTGTTGTTTTAAACTTTGTTGTTTTTTGTGGGGTGTTTTTTGTCACATGTCTCATTTCCAACATGTTAGTTAACGAAATGTCTTCTCATCGGATTCAAGCACTTTTAAAAATGCTATTTTCTTCAGTAATACACACGTACTCATATATGTATTTTTATGAAAGGGGCTTTTTGGTTGTTTTGTTTGTTTGTTTGTTTTTTTAACTTGTTATTTCGTTATAACTATTCATCGACCTTCATCTTTCGAGAAAAAGAACATTCTGTAAATAAATCCATCATCCGTTTTAGTTTTTAGAATTTCCTATTGTATTTAATTATGCAAAAACGCAAAATGATTTTTTGCCTGTTAATTTCAGTTATTTTTTAATGTAAATTTTTAAACTATTATAATTTTAAATTGTTTTAAACTTTTTTTTAATTAATATTTATCTACTCAGCTAATAAATAGGTCTTTTCTGCAGTTTATAACAAAATTATCCTTTCGCCAAGTTTTTAGTTAAAAATATTTTCTCTTTTTATTAGTTTAATTTTTCGTTTATTTTAAAGTAAAACTTTCTCTAAATTTCTAAATTCTACAATACTTCACATGCAATTAAGAAAAAGACCCCTAAACCAACGCGAAAGTCTTGTTAAATTTATAAAATTTATTATTCAATATTCTCCCTCCATCAATTCAGATTCGTCTTCTTCACTCTTCAGTTTAATCGTCTACGGCAACACTTTGCTTAAACGTCGCTAAATACACATAAAGTCCTCTTCTTAGACTATATTTTGATTACACAACTTTAAAATTTATACTTTGTTTTTCACAAAATGTCACCAATTTTTGTTCATTGTATTATTAATTTTGGAAATATCTCTGCCGTAAAATTGCGGCTGAAAAATTCCGAATTGACAAAGAATTTGAATTGTTTATCTTTATTGAGTTTTAAAATGGTAGAAAATTGAATGTACTTATCTTTTTATTTATTTATATGATTAGACGTCAAATTTTCTAATTATCTTCAAATAACGTTTCAAGAAAAATATTTTTATATTTGATGAAAGATTTCTAAAACGGAAAATTAATTTCTTATGTTTACAAACGTCTCACAAAATAGACGAATTTGTCGACTTTTACTGAAAACAAAACGATTCCAATCAATCTAAATTCGATTTGAAATACATCAAAGTATTTTGTTTACTGGGAATAGTAAATTTTAATTTATATTTTTTTTAGCTTTTGAATTAAAACTAAAATGAAAACGGCAAGGAAGATTTTTTTTTTTTCAAAAATACATAGGTATCGCATTTATTTGAAAATACCTAATATACATATATATATATATATATATATATAATTCTGTGTGAGTTAAAGATCAAATGTAGATCAAATATGGATCAGAATCCAACAGGATGATAAGATAAAGAACAAATAGGAAACGTTTATCGTTTGTTTGAATTTTATATTTTATTAAAGCTTCGTCAGAGATTGAGAGGAAAGTAAAACAGACAACAACAAAAAAAAGAACTTTGGTTTTTTGACGAAACTTTAAATAAATGTGAAAGATGTTAGACTGATAAACGTTTCCTATTTGTTCTTCATCTTATCACACACACACACACATACATATATATATATATATATATATATATATATATATATATATATATATATATATATAAGCTTTCGGCTTAAACAAGCGGAATCCATTATTAAAGATGACAATTTCAATAAACACACACACACAGGGTGATTGAAAAGTGACTCCATATTTTAAAATAATTTATTTATTAACTTTAATTTTTACAAGAAATAAATATGAAAAGAAAGCGTTTTGCATCAGGTTTTGTTTAAAATTCGATATAGGCACCAAATTTTGCCGCCAACTTATCGAACTGCCCAGGAATGGCGTCAACAACTGATTTCACCAGGAACTATTGTGGTATGGAAGACATAGCTTCTTGTATTTGCCCATCAAGTTCTTTCAAACTTTTGGTTTAGCATAGTAGACTTTTTTCCTTTAACCAGTCCCAAAGAAAAAGTCACAGCGTGTTAAGACAGGACTCCTGGCTGGCCACTCACACATAAAATAGAGAGTTACTTTTCAATCACCCTGTATATATATATATATATATATATATATATATATATATGCTGATACCTCCTGACGAGTGGACCGAACGATTACTAAACGGTTTGTCTCCGAAACACTCGAGTCAGAGTACTGAATATAATATCAGTTACCTAAGAGACAAATATTACAATTATTATATAAGATTAGTCACCTAAGTTCTCTTTTGAAAGATATTTTATTGTCTTTATTAGACGATTATATTTTTTTTAGAGCCCCCTTCTATTTTTTTTTCAAGGAAATAAAAACCTCGAGTGGACGTGTACTGAAAGAAAAGTACCGGCAAAACTTAACTATTTTATTTTTACAGTTACGCCAAATAATAGGCGCATGATGCAGATATTGTTTTAAATTGAACTATTGCTTTTCAAAATTGATTTTCTTTTATTTCACAAAGCTAAAACATTTGTTGTTTAGTGTATAAATCCTTGCCGCAAGTAATTTTTTTAATGCTATTGTAGCATATGACTTGCGCAGATCAGAGATAAGCACAAGTCTGTTAATCTATTGTCATTTGTATCTATCGCGTATTTAAAAATTTACCTCCTACTTAAATCTTTCCAAATGCTACATCGTTATTGTTCATGTTGGTGAGTACTTTCATTTTCATCCTCTGCTTCTGGTCATAATTATTACTACCTCTCCCGTTAGCTTGTTGTAAGTTTGTCAGATTTGATGGATTTGATCCGTAACATGCCTCCATCTTTTATACTCCTTACCACCTATTTTTTCTTTTTGTTTATCTATATATGTAGTCTATGAAAAACACATTGCTGAAGGCATATAGCAAGAGCTCTGTTCACTAAACATCTGTCACTTCTCTTTTCAGGAATGAGTAGGTATGATAAGCTTATTCAGGCTGCTGCAAGTCGTTTGATAGGATATGACAGTGACTTGGCCAGGTACGAAGTTCATAAGACAGTCTACATGAAACAACAGCTGGAGGACCGATACCATAGGTCGCTGGAACAAATGAGGTTGAAGCATTCGGCGTGTGTCAATGAATCTTCAATGAATAAAGAACGGAGTCAGTCAAGTGAAACGGAGGTAGATTCCTATCAGCTGGAGAATAGCTGTGAAGAGGATCGGTTTAATTCCCCATTGAACTCACCATCTGGGACTGCTATCAAAAACCGCGGGATTGTCGAGAATTCTTTTCCTGACAACTTTCCAGTTGTTTTAGCAAGACATGGCATGGGACTTCTTAAACCTGACCTCGCCACCTCCGACACGTCTCAGTTGTTGAGGGAGATTCTTCAAAATAAAGAAAAACATCAACTCCAAGAGTTGGCCAACAACAATAACAATAACACCACTACCAACAATAAAAACAATGTAAATAGGCTTAATGGCAGTAATGCTATTCAAGATTCAAGCGGCCTTATCACTAAGCTTTTAAAAAACACTTCCCAACAAAAGAGCAGCTTGTCTGACACCGAAAAACTGTCTTGTCACTCGACCGAGGGTTCCGCTGAAGAAAGTGATGGGGAGAGTACCATAGAGCAACTGCCAAATGATGAAGAGGCCGACGTGGGAGATGTTAAAAGCGGAGTCCTTTTGTCTGGCGTCGGTTCTCAATTGATGGACAGCAAAGAAGCTAAACGTGCCAGAGTTGAGAACATCATCACTAGCATGCGCCATTCTCCATCTCACAGTATATGTGATAGTCAGAACATTCAAGAACAGAGACGACAGAAGCGAAAACAACACCAGCCGCAACAGCATGAACTCAGCCCAGATCACAGTGACTCCAAAATGCGTAAAATGACAAAGGAAGACTTCAACCGGCAACTGATGGAATTAAAGAACCAGATAAACGATATGCAGAGGAAGTATTCTGCTCTTTACAACACCGAGCGACACTCTGATAGATCGGCTGATGGAGGCGACGATGATGAAGACTGCCATACCACGGCATCTTTATCCCATTCGGCCTCCAATCGTATGAGTAAACTAAATGGAGAAGTCAATTCGAACAATCGTGAGAACATCGGGTTGGATAATTCGGATATCGATCCTGTTCACCTGATAAGCCAAGCAAGTCAAATGGTAAGGGAGCAAGAACTCGCCACAAAAAGACCAACCCCATCATCATCACTACAATCCGAAGTTCAAAACTTGGCGACGTCGCTCAAATCTGAGCTCAGTCAAGCTGTGGATACTATTTTCAGTCGGTTTGTTCAGAACCAAGCTCTCAAATCATTGGAGAACTCGACCAATCAGAGCAAAACTCCAGATCAAGCACCAAAAGAGAGATCAAAATCTCCCACCAATAGTGCTGAATACCCATCGGAATTTTATGCCCTTCCTCGAGTCCATGACAAACAAACTTTATTTGATGCAACGTGTCGGAACACACCTGACCTTCCGCGAGCTCATAATCGGGCCCTTCCTTTCCCTCCTCCACCCCCACATCATTCCAATTCTCAATCCCTGTCATCATTTTTCACCCAGTCTCAAGTTCTCACCTCTCCTGTGTACAGCTCTGAACCTGAACAAACTGAAGCCCTATCGTTGGTCGTGAACACACCCAAGAAGAAACGTACTAAAGTGACTGATACCCGTTTGTCACCCCGAGCCGCTCGTGCCTTGCTCCAAGATAACTGTGTCCAAGTATCGTCCGCCATGTCTGATTTAGAGAAACATATACCTACTTCCTTCCCTCATATTTTACCCCCAATGCTGCCAACTAGTGTAGCTATCCCCAATCCCAGCTTACAACATTCTGATATTCTCGGATATTACAGAGAACCTAATTATATGGAAGGGACCCGCTCAGCAGGTCATTCTCCTTTGGATGACCAAGGGTCTCCGGGAAATACCACCAATTCTTTGTCAGATTCGTACATGATGTTAAAATCAGAGAGCTATGACATGCCGACCGAATCTGATGGCCAAATGGCAATGATATCCTTGCGAGCTGTAAAATAAACAGTAAGATCTTTCCAAATTGATCATTTTTGTAAACAAAAACAGCCCTCCCTCTCTCTCTCTCTCTCTCTCTCTCTCATTCTCTCTCTCACTCTCATTCTCTCTTCCCCCTCTCTCACCCACTCCCCCCTCTCTCTCTTTCTCTCTCCATATCGAAATTGTTTCTAGAATTTTAAAAGCTTATTTTTCTTTAATCAATTCATTGCCACTCATTCTTTGCGTCTGTTTTCATCAATCTTCATCTTTCTTTTCATGTCTTTTTTTCTTTTAATCTCTGACTGTTTCTATCTCTCTGGCTTTGTCCTCTCTCTCTCTCTCTCTCTCTCTCTCTCTCTCTCTCTCGCTTTTGTTTTCTCTCTTTATTTCACTCTCTCTCTTTTTCGCTTTCCTTCTTTCTCTCTTTTTCGCTTTCCTTCTTTCTCTCTTTTTCTCTTACACACACTCACTCACACACACACATACACACACACACACACAATTTTTCTATCTATCTCTCTCTCTCTCTCTCACTTGTCTCTCTTTGACTCTTTCTTTCTCTCTCATTTTAAACATTGCATTTTTTATTTCTTATGTCATATCCATGTTGTTGCTTTTTATTTCAGTAATATTTAATCACATACATTATCCGGATTCAACTAAATGATTTTCAAACATTTTATTACATGTGTAAATGTATTTTTTAATCGGTTATTATAAAAACTATGAAGGTATAAATTAATTTCAAATTAATTTATCTTAAGTTGACTTCATTTAAAGTAATCCTTAATTTTATTTTTATTTCAAAACCACACTTTTCCATGAGCATTTGAATTTTCAAACAGACCAGAATTCCAAACTTAAATATTGTTGCGTAAACCTTGTGTAATCCATCCAAACTCTTTATTCGCTTCAGACAAGAATTTTTCTCTCGGTCAAGTTATTTAAAGAATAATATTTACTTTTAGTAAAAGAAAATGTCCCGTAGTGTTAATATACTATTATCATCTCTAATCGATATTTTCATAGTATAATTACTTTGAATTAATTGATTTAAAAATATCGAAATTTATATATCAAACATGTTAATTTAAATTGAAAATTTTAAATTTTTTATTTATTTTATTTATACTCATTTTTTTTCTCAGCATTTTTATAAATTTTCAACTCTCTTTTTAACCTGAGGGAAAAAAACAGCTTTTAAAACTATTTTGTTTAAATATTTTCAATGCTCGTCTTTAAATTTGATATCAATCGCAATTACATATTGTCAAAAAATGACAATTAATATTCACAAAACTTTAAACGGTCAAAGCGACCATTTCGATTTAATAAAAACGTTATTTGTTCTTCAAGTCTATATTAGCTAAACACTTGGATTCTCAATATGTCGAAAAATTTGTTTATTTATTATCAACAAACATTATTATTTTCTTCGATTTTTTTTTCTGGTTTTTCTTTTAAGAAGGAACTTTAGCACAATATTTAAATTAAATTCAGAATTAAATAAAACGGTTCTTTTAGTTAGCGGGAAAATAAAATATCAACTTGTAACAATTCTTCTGTTAATTTTAGAAAAAAATTAAAACCTTGTATGTCTTCCTCTTCGGGCCAATACACTCACCTTCGCTCATGTTGTTTCGGCTGCAGCATTCTTCATCATCAGGTTACCAAGTACAA